CAAAGCTCTGTACGCCGGCGCCAATTCGACACATCTGTTGACAGAATTCTCGTCTGTGGACCAGGCTTCGATCAATTCTCTGCTCGTCTTTTTTCCCGCGTGGGCGAGCAGCTTGGCGGCAGCGAAGTTGAACTCATGGACTGTTTCGTCGATGTGAGCTGCAATTTGTGATCATTCGTCGCCTCGTCGCACGGCCAACTTGTGTTTACGAATGCGCGATCCGAGAATGCGTTCAGTTTGGTCTGTGTAAGTACGGGGACAGCTTAGGCATGGGATGCGATACAGCACACCAGATTGTTCATTCTGCGTAAGCCGGTCTTTTATTATCATCACCCTGCTGCGCATGGTAGCCTTGGCTCTGTGTGCAATTCCAACACCTAGGCTCGCTGTGGTGCGCTCAGTCGCTTCTGAGACGTCCTTTATGTATGGCAGAGCGTGCCGTATCTCGGTGGTTCTTCTGTTTGGGTCCTCCGGGGCCGAACGCGTAGGCATCGGTCTATCAATGCTTTTATAATTCACCTTCGGCTCACCGGAGTGAATATGAAGATTTGCTGACGTTTCGGACAGCTGGGCCGGCCGTCCTTTGTCAAAGCGAACACTGACTTTTATCTATCAGCAGTTTAAAGTTGCGGCTGTAGGTATTGGCCTTGGGCTGATCGATTTTTCTCCGTTCGCTGTCAGGCCTTGCGTGTGGATTTTGGCTTGGCATGACGGCAACTGGTGTTTCTTTTCTGTTCCGCATGAATTGGTCGCAAAGATATTGGGCCTCGCGTACCTTTTCCTCCGGCTTACTGCCGTGAGTCTGAATCCGTTTAAAGAGTTCTTTTACACGGATTCGTTCGTGAACAACTGGGTAGTTACTGTGAAAACTGAAAAGTCTTGCTGTGTCCGGTGCCTTCCTATAAACCGTCATCTCGATTTCACCGTTGGGCGTTCTCTTGAGGAGGACATCAAGGAAAGGCAGCTGCTGCTCTTTTTCTTCTCTCCTCGTAAATTTTCTGTCAGAAAAGATTCAGTTGAGCAAGTTGTGGAAGTTTTGCAGCATGCTTTTCTTTATGATAATAAACTTTTGTCCAAGTATCGACGCCAAAAGACAGATTTGTGTTGGGTGAAGGCGGTGTTTTCTAGTTCTTGTAGGACCAGTTCTGCCACTAAACCAGAGATCGGGGACCCTATCGGAGTACCTTTTATTTGTTCGTTGGTTTCTCCGGCAAAAGTAACGTATGTTTTTGACAGAATTCGAATAACCTCATGATATGTTCAATTTTGAGTGGATTTTGGGCCTCATCATATACCTCCTCAAGTCTCTTGTGCAAGATTTCGTGCGCCAGATTTGGCGGTATGGATGCAAACAACGAAGTCACATCGAAAGAGAACATGATTTCGTCCGACTGAATCGTCCGACCTCTGAAGTCCTCGAGGAATCCAGAGGCTGATTGAATAAATCGTTCGGGTGTTCGATCATCTGTCTTCTTTACCGATGAAAATACCTGGAAAACGCACTTTTTCTTTCACCCTGCTCATGTCTCTGATGATGAATCCTCGACGGATCTCGAAAAGGCTGCCGAATAAAAGAACTGTCCCAGGGATCTTCTTCTTCGGTCTTCTTCTCAAACGATGAATTGTTATCAAAGGACACTTTTTAACTCTAGCCAACTTTACGCTTTTTAGTATCCCTGCAATTGTACTGGCCTGAAGATAAATTGCTGAAAACATATGTTTGCCGAATAAACCTGTAAAAGTTAATAAAATTCTCCTTCTTATAATTTGAATGTGGATCTTTAAGTTAGCGTATAACAATGTAACAGTGATTGATTCTTCACATAAAGTCTGAGGAGTGAAACATCCTTTTGTTGTCTAGGACCTTCAGCTGTTGTGCAAGGGAGCCAGAACTTAGGGCCGCCGCGTTTGCAGCCGACAAGCAAATGATCAAGATTATTGAACATACTGACATATGCAAAAAGCGCATTCATATTAGGCAGATGAAGTTGACAACAACAACGCAGCCAGTCTGAGCTCAAAATAAACGATGCTGGCTTGTTGTTTAACGGCAGAATCTCCTAGAGTATGATGATGCCGAGGAGACGACGTTTTCACCATTGGGTCAATTGCATTTTTTATATCGGCCTGGTATTCATCTGATGGATTATAGATTGATTAATTGGGAAAAGCTGCCTGGGCAATCAGGCTACTCCATTAGTATTGGTGGATTCTATCCAGGCAGTAGGCTGGGCGGGTAACTCGGCCCAAGTGTGATTAAGTGCATGGCACCTTGTGAGCCTCGTAGCTCATTTGGCAGAGCGCTGGCTGTATTAAAGCCTTAACTTTTTGCCTTGGTTTCGTATCCCACCGAGGCTACAAATGTTTCACAATTGGGTCAATTGAATAAGTCAATTCTGCCTCCACCTTTTAATAATGAAACTAATATGTTTGCAAGCATACAAATTATTAAAATAAGTGAATCGTGATTGAGTAAAATACTCCGGAATTTTCCTTGTCAGTAGACCCTAGTACTGCGGTCTCGTGCCGTATACGCCTAAACAATTAACCGAAATGGTATAAAATAAAGCGAAAATAAACATTAAAAACCCGCATTATCGCAATCGACTGTGTTGATCTCACAGAAATTCTTGCTTGAGAATGCGGAACAGGTGACGGTTTTGCCTAACAGGCGGCATAATCCTCTGTTTATCCCCAGGCAGCGTCGATGCCAAGTGGCGATTGCATATCGTCCCAACGTTTTATGGTAATGAAGGTCTCCTTCTTATCAGTTAATTGATAAACTCTAATTCAGCGTAGAACTGTGACAATAAGTGTGTTTGCGCATTATGTCCAGCTGCTGTGCAATGGAGCCGTAATCCAATGCAGCCGTCAAGCAAGTGATTGAGATAATGGACTATAATAATTTGTGCAAGAAGTGCATTCATATTAGGTTGACAAAGTTGACAAAAGTGCAGCCAGGTTGAGCTCATTATAAACTATGCAGGTCTGCTGTTTAACGGCAGAACCCTGCGGACAATCATGTCAATTAAAATCCCAGCGTATTACAATACCGGCGCCGCGAAGATTTCACAATTGAATTTTTCACATCTTTCACCCCTTCTAACAATTAAATATGCCTGATAGTCATCTGGTGGATTCTAGATTGATTGCTTAGGAGATCCTGCCTGGGCAGTCAGCCTACTCTATCAGTATTGGTGGATTCCATAAGTTGCAGTAGACTGGTTGGGTAAATCGACCCAAGAGGTTTCCGGTGAGCCGTGTAGCTCAGTTTGGGGAACGTTGGCTGTATTTAAGCCTTCCCTTGTTGACGTGGTATCGAATCCCAGCGAGGTCGCGAATATTTTCATTATTATGCAATTTTCCTGCCCTTACGATGGATTGCTGAAAACATGTATTTGCCGAATAGACTTTTTAAATGCTTTATTAGTCACAGTAAAGAATAAGACGACCACTCAGGCAAACTACATGCATAGTTTTTCATAGGTCTTGCGGTCGAATAACCATAGCGGTTTTACTAGGGACAGACCAAGGTACGTGACTTAATTCAAGAAGGTTGTCGAAATTTGATAAAACCTCCCTAATCACTCGCAAACCGGAGTTCGTGAATGAGTCGAATCTTTGTAATAATGAGGAAGTACAGTAACCTAATTTTTGGGCATAAAATTAATAATAAAAGTAATATTGCAAGGTTAAGAAAAATCAAATATTTTAGAAAAGAGGTTTCATTCCGAAATTTTCAACAATCGTCGAAACTGAGTAATCGGCGAAAAACTCGTAACGTAAGCCTTCCCTGTTCTGTGGTTCGTCATTTGAGGTAGGTAGATATAGCCTCGAGTTTACTCTTAACTCCCTATAAAGCTGTCAGAAAACCTTCGTTTCCTTAGGAAGTCCACTTCCCACAGTCCCTAAAAGACTGATCATAATATACGGTGCAAATTGGTTGCAAGTATAATAGCCTTGTTATCGTTATTGTGCGCTTTTCGATCCTTTTAATCCTGAGTTAAGGACCAGCTTCATATGAACATACTAGTAACAGTTAAACAGGTTGTTTTTTACCAGTCCTACTCTCTTTTCTAAAAAGTAATTTATTCGTTAGCAAAAAGGGTCGATATTACTTCTATGGTCTCTCCAAAACGGACAAAGAAATAGGAACGCGCAGCCTAAGTACTAATGCTGGCCCTGAGCATAATTCCTG